CCCAGCCTGATAGTACAACTCATCGATATGATTATCGGATCAACCTATCTTACGCTGGTATAATTCACCCATTCTAACGTTGTCATCTTCTGACGAACATAGTTCTCTTTGAGGGTATAATGCCCCGTCATTATTCTCGAGAGTCGCTCGTTTGAAACCACGCCTTCGTGCGCGTGAGGACCCAACGGGCTCTTAGACTTCAACTCGCAATCCGAGGCGAGTGGCTATTGGTACTTTCTCCGTAGGAGAGATCTTTGACTTACTAGGTAATTGCGTACGACCCCTAGTCTGACGAACCATACAGGGTTCATCTTTATGCAAAGGACCCAAACCATCTGTAATCTTCACTTTGAATCGGGACAAGTCCACGCTGTCGTGAGGTTCTACCGAAGGTGAGGAAGTCATCGGAACAGAAACAGTCGGAGACTCGAAACTGGTCGCGGGAGGCGAAATTTCAAACGGAGGTGAACCGGCTTTGCGGTGACGCGGGCCAGCAATTGGTGGCTCGACCTTGGCCGAGCCAGCGTTTGGTGGCTCGGTCTTGGCCGAGCCAGCATTTGGTGGCTCAGCCTTGGCCGAGCTAGCAGCCGACAATTTTGTTTTTTCGGGCCTTATTTTGGATTTCGGCCTCCAGATTTGACGTGGTTTTGACAATCTATTGTCTACATCGTTTGTTTGCAATTTCTTGGCTTCTCGCACCAGAATTTTTTGCGTGCGCAAGTAACGCGCGGCATTTCTGGATCCGTTCTTCAAGAGTTGAACATGTCCTCTTAACGGGGACCCATTCATTCGTCGTTGATTTGAAACAATCGCTCGCTTGTAGCCGTGGCAGTTGGTGTTTTCTAGACTTCAGATCCGTTTCATAGCGGATCCCATCAACTAGCTCGGAAGCTTTGGCCAATTGCGTGCGAGGCGCTAACGTCGTCTTTGACGCGCTCTCTTGGATAAGGTCGGCGCGTTTTCAGTAGTGGCTTCGGCTTTGCAAGGTGTACCTTGAGCCGCTGCAGGATGAGGATCTTGGTTTTGAACCTTGAGATCCAAGTGCCCCCAAACCTTCCTTGTTGATTCTCTTCTATTCTTGCGAGGAGAGGATGATCTGGAAGATGAGGATAAGTATTCCTCATACTTTGCCTGGTCGAACTCGTACTCGACCTCTTCATTGATCGGGATGGTGATCTTTGGTTGCGACACTACAGCTTCAACAGAGAAGCTACCGGCTCCCACTGTGGTTGCCAGTTTATTTTCGTCAAAAATTGCTTTTTTCATTGCTTTCAAACCTGTTACACTGTTTATCGATTACAAGTTCAAACTAAAAGAAAAGTTGATCTTTTTATAAGATCTTCTTACAATGAAAAATAAAGATTACAACTTTATCAAACAAAACACAGCAGTAGTTTATCTCCCGTTGCTTTGCGTGGGATCTTTGCCTGAACCGGGGACGCGTTAGTCCGTGGACTACCGCAGATCAAACCCGATTGACAGTATAACTACGCTCTTGTTTTACAAAGGAAATAATTGCGGAAGCGACAATCACGACCAAGCGAGATTGTGGCTCTTCCCGAGATTAAAACCAAATTTAATCCGGAGGAAAGAAAAGGAAAGAATCACAAACCTTTCGAAGGACTTTCTTTATGAAAGTATTCGCCAAGATCTGATGATTCTTCTCTGAAATTCGTGGTTAGCTGGACAATTTGACAGCACCTCGCCTCTTCAATTTCAGATTCTCTTGAAAGAAGACCCTAGGCTTCTATTTATAGGCTTTTGGAGACGTGTTTTTGGATAAGACTTGATGTTTAAATGTTATCTGTAGTTAATAACCATTTAAACGCGTCTAGGGATAACATTAAAACAGTTGGAGAGGTTCTGGGACGAAAGAATCCTTAAAAATCATCGAAATCCGCGTTTTGGGCATTTGGTGGCTCGCATGGGTGCGAGTCACTATTTGGTGGCTCGCACTCGTGCGAGTCACCATTTGGTGGCTCGCGCCTACGCAAGCCTCCGGGTGTGTTTTTGTTCATCTTTTTGATACTTCGGCGATTCGTGACTCCTCAAGTTCGCTTGTTTTGCGTACGATTCATCGTTTCGCTGATTTGCACATTTTACTGATCCACTTCGTACACTTACTGGTGTTGGGTAAATTCTCTTGACTCGGATAGTAACGTTTATTGTCTTCTCGTTGTCTTGAACTATGTTTGGGAAGCTATAGGTAATTTTTGACGTCTACAGTAGGGACCAAGAGGTAGAATAAATCCAAGACTATTTATTTGAAATAATTCAATAGCATCTGCAAAGGAGCCACTCAACCTGCATCAAATACTATTTACTCTTGAAGTAAAGGTTACTATGTGAAGCAGAAGGATTCAACAAGTTGGTATATTTAAGTTTCTAAAGTTGATGAATACCGAATTTTAAAAGTAAAAATTATCAAATGAGATAGAACACTATATAGTAGCCACAAAGAAAAGTAAACTCCATGAAAAAAAGCAAGAAAAATTTAAAGCTAAACAATTGAAGATATTTCATCATATTTATAACCCGATGAAGACAATGCAAACTCCTTAGTAGTTCTCTAGTAGTGACTTGCTCCAGACAAACACTACAGGTCAGTTCATCATCTTGACTCATGTTTCCATCTGGTTTTATGAGGTCTTGCTTTTTCTGCTTAACAGAAGTAAATGAATGCAATATATGACAATGTCAATACATAAGCATGTGCATAATAAAAAAGTATGTGCGCAACTAGCAAAGAATTATTTCACAGAAGTACATGTACACATTGCATAAATTGATAAACAATATAAACAGGATTTCTCTAAGGGCAACCTACAGCTGACCAAATGCAATTGTCTTTGTAAAAAAAGAACAAGAAAAAAGATACTAATTGCTTAGAGTAAAAAGAAAAAAGATGGAGGTGTAAGTTAGCATGCGATTTTTTCTGCTAAATTACGCCCCTCCTTATATTTTCATGGCGAAGAAGAAGAAGAGAAGTGGGAAGAAGATCTTTAATATAGGATTGAGAGCTTCTAACTCAAGTTCGATAGGCGTTGTGGATCAATTAGATACAAATTTGGCTGGAGATGATGAAGGATCTGATAACTATGCTATGAGCTCGACAGGTACGAAAGGAAAGAAGAAGAAGAAATCAATGGAGGAATTGCTCAGACCTACAGATTTCTTGGTTGATTCATAGCATTCTATGAGTTCTTCACAGATGATTAGAGTCCAAACTGGCCATCTAAGTAAATCTCTAAACTCTTGTGTAGGCGCTAGTAGCTCGTCTAGGGCTTCTTGTGTAGATGAGGTTGAGTTAGGGGTTATCTCTTCTGATTCTCCTTCCAATCCTTCAGGAGTTCTAAGCTCTGACTCAGTGATTTTAGAATCGATATTTGATACGGACACTGTTCCATTGCAATCTAATTTGAGAAATTTTATAAAGGCTAGATCTGATGATTTGATTAACTTTGATAAAGAAGCTAATAAGGAATATGTGTTTGTAAATTCTAAAGATTCTGTGAATTAAAATCTAGAAAAAGAGGAGAATGTTAATATACATGATAAACCTATAAATTGTCAGGATAATGGAGGGATTTTGAAGGAAACGGGTACTGGTTCTAGCAAATCATTAGCTAGACTTTTTACTGATAATAGGAAATCGAGCAATGAATTATCTCTGAACTTTATGTCGTCTTCTCAATCCAATACAGTCTCATTTTATGTTGATGAATGGAGGGAAGGAGAAGATTTATGGAGAAATGCCTTAATTGGTCATGTCATAGGATTGAATGTCAAGTTTAAATCAATGGAATCCTACGTGAGCAAATTATGGGGTAAAATTTCTATTCCGAAGGTCTCTTTAATCAAACAAGGATTATTCCTATTTGATTTTCAAATTGAAAAATTGATGAGAGATGTACTTGAGGCTGGACCTTGGGTTTTTGGGTCTAGATCTTTAATGTTAAAGCCATGGAGCATTGATTCAGATTTGGAGAAGTTGTTGGATTTTTATTATCCAATGTGGGTGCAATTTCCAAACCTAAGGTTAAATATATGGAGATTAACTGGCATTAGCAAGGTTGCTAGCCTTATTGGCAAACCTATTGCTACTGATAAACTCACGGCTACTAGGCAAAGATTGAGCTATGCAAGAGTTCTGCTAGAAGTGAAATTGCCATTGAAAGAGCCTTTACCTGATCATTTGACTATCCAAGAACCTAATGGAAAAAGCTATACACAGTCAGTATTATATGAATTCAAACCAAAATGGTGTTCATTGTGTAGCATGATTGGTCATGATACTGAGCAGTATAGGAAGAATAAAACTAAAAAAATGTGGGTTCCTATCAATAGACAGACTGAGAAAGTTAGACAGAAAAATGTTGAAAATGATGGTAATTTTGGGCTTGCTAAGGAGTCTTCAGTTAAGGAAAGGACTAGAGCATGTTCTAATGCTAGTTCTAATGGTTAGGATGTTCAATTAACTTCTGGTCAAGGAGCACATACTACTGAGAAACAAGCACAGCCTGAAAAATATGCATAGGCTGAAATTCAGCCTTCTGAGCAGGGAACTAGGATATGGGAGAAAATTCAGGTCAGGGGGTATTTTCGTCTGGTCTATCAAACCTACAACGTGCACATCTTCAGCAAATCAACTTCTTAACTCTGATTGTCAATGCATCTGGGTTTACTAGTGTTAATAGAACAAATATAGCAAGGAGAGTTTTTATAGCTGAACCTGATACTTCAGGCATTCAACTATCTCATTTCTCTCTTCTGGAAGACCCTTCATTTGTTGACAAGGGTGGAAAATCTCTCTAATGTACCTTGCTATTTGGAATATTAGAGGATTCAATAAGTCCTCTAAGCATATGATAGTAAAGCAGTTTATTCAAGAGTATAATCTCTCTTTACTAGCTCTTCTCAAAACTAAGTTACAAGTCCAAAAAGTTACAAAAGGCTGGAAATTACAAAAGGCTTAGCTATGAAAATTACAAGTCTTAGCTATGAAAATTACAAAAGGCTGGAAATGGATATCTAATGTGCATGAAGCTAGCAAAGGAAGAATTTGGATTCTCTTGGATAGTGATATCTTCATAGTCCAAAAAATTATATCATCAGAGCAATATATTACTTGCTCAATTGAATCAAGGGATGGTAGATTCTCCAGTATGTGTACTATAGTCTATGCACTAAATCAAATAGTTAGCAGGAAAATTCTTTGGCATGATCTTCTGGCATTTAAGCATAATGTTAATGGTCCCTGGATAATTGGTGGGGATTTTAATGCAATTACAGGTTGTGATGAAAAGATAGGAGGTATGCCAGTTTCTGATGCTGATACAGAGGACTTTCAGAGTTTTATCACCACAAGTCAACTATTGCATATAAGATCAATTGGATGTTTTTTTACTTGGAGTAACAAGCAAGAGGCTAAAGATAGAATCTGGTCCAGATTGGATAGATGTTTGGTTAATGTGGATTGGATTCATCTTTATACATCTCGTCAAGTGGAGTTCCTCATGCCTAGCTGCTCTGACCATTCCCCAACACTGCTAACTATTGAAGATGATGTTATTGAGGGTAAAAGGCCATTCAAATTCTTCAATATGTGGGTTAAGCATCCAGATTTTATCTTAACTGTTAAATCAATATGGAAGTTAAACATTGAAGGCTACAAATTATACAGGTTGCACTCAAAACTCAAAAAACTCAAGTATGCTCTTAAAGAGTTGAATAAGAAACACTTTATGAATATAAGTGAACAAGTTCTTAGAGTGAAAGAAGAATTAACTGATATTCAATGGCTGCTAAGTGTGGATCTTTTCAACCTAGCTTTGATAGCAAGAGAAAAAGAATGCATCACAAAATATGATAGGTTACTAGATTGTGAATCCTCTTTCTATAAGCAAAAAGCCAATATTAACTGGAGTTTGGAAGGGGATAAAGGGTCTAAGTTCTTTCATTCTATCATGAAAAAGAAAACGCATCTCAACAGAATTCTGACCCTATACACTAAAATAGATCAAGAATGACTGACAGATCTGAGATAATTGTAGAATTTATTAATTATTACAAAAAGCTCGTAGGAATTTTAGTTTCTACTACAATTCCTGATCCAGAGGTGATTGCAAATGGTCCTCTTCTTTCGCCTGAACAAACACATGTGTTCAGTCTTCCAATTACAAGGGATGAAAAAGATGAAGATGTCTTCTCTATGTCTAATGACAAAAGTCCAGGTCCAGATGGATATAGTGCTCTCTTCTTTAAAGCTTCTTGGAGTGTCATCAGTGAAGAACTTTTTTCAGCAGTTGAAGAATTCTTTTGCTCTGGGAAGATGCTTGGTATGTTCAATGCTACTTCCATCACTTTGATTCCTAAAACTCTCAATCCTCAATATGCTGCAGACTTCAGGCCTATTTCTTGTTGCAATTGTGTTTACAAGATTATAACTAAAATCATTGCATCTAGAATTCAAAAAGTAATGGGGTATTTGATAAGTGATGTTCAGATTGCTTTTGTTAAAGGTAGACTTATATCAAGCAACATCCTCTTAGCACATGAAATTGTTAAGCACTATGACAGGAAACATTTGACCCCTAGAGATGTTTTGAATATTGATTTGAGGAAAGTGTTTGATACTATTAGCTGGGATTTCATGAGAGCTATGTTGAAAGGTTTGGGATTCCCTGAAATCATGATTTCCTGGATCATGGAATGTATTTCAACCTCTAAAATTTTCATATCTATTAATGGCACACTTCATGATTATTTTTAAGGAGCTAGAGAATTGAGACAAGGTGATCCTTTATCCCCATATTTGTTTGTAATTGGAATGGAGTATTTGTCTCGGAAGCTAAACACTCTCAATGATGATAGGTTGTATAAATTTCATCCCAAATGTTCTAAAATGAAGATAACTCATCTAACTTTTTCGGATGGCCTTCTCCTGTTTGCCAAAGCTGACATGAACTCAATTTCAAGACTGAGGAATTGTCTATTGGAGTTTAGCCAGGTCTCTAGATTAGAACCAAACCCTTCTAAATGTTCTATATTCATAAGTGGGATTGATGAGAACCTGAGGAATCAAATATGTGCTTATCTAAACTTCTCTGAGGGGATCTTACCAATGCGATATCTGGGTATGCCGCTAATCTCTAAAAGGATTTCTTGGCTAGATTGCTCTCCTCTTATTAAAAAGATCTCTGATCAATTTTAGAGTTGGCAAAGTAAGAGGGCACTATCATATGCTGGAAGATTGCAATTGATAAAATCAGTTATTTTGGGAATTCAACTCTTTTGGACTAGCAATTATATTCTTCATATCAAAGTGCTAGAGAGAATTGGTAGCGTGCTCTAATTTCTTATGGGGTCATAAATTTCACTTGGTAGCTTAGACCTCCGTTTGTCACGATATTAAGCATGGTTGTTTGGGATTATTTTCTGCAAAATTCTAGAATTATGCAATGGCTGAAAAACTCCTTTGGATGATACATCTCAAAGAAGATATTCCCTAGATCAAATTGGTTCACGGTAATTATTTGAGGAAAGTTAGTATCTGGCAAGTTCAAGCTAAAAAGAGTGACTCATGGATGTGGAAGCAGCTGCTAAGAGTAAGAAATATGCTGATAGATAAGCTTGGAACTGTGGACAATTTGCTAAATATTATCCGTGGAAGCTGCACCAATGATAAATTCAGTATTTCATTGGCATACAGAGCAATTTTTCAGCATCCAGCATTGGTCGAATGGCCAGGAACTATCTGGGGGGGTGGAATTATCCAAAATATTCATTTATCCTATGGTTGGCATCTCTTTCCAGACTCTTAACGCAAGAAAGACTATGAAAAATAAAGATATTAAGCTCTAACCAGTGTGTTTTGTGCTCAAGAGATGGCCAAATAGAAACATGCCAACATCATTACTTCGAATGCCAATCTTCTACATGTGTGTGGAATAAAGTAATGGACTGGTTAGGATTCAATTGGAAGTCTTATTATTAGAATCAGGTGATCGGCTGGTTTAGCAGGAACTTGAAAGGAAGAAGCTACAAGAAGAAGTTGAAAAGAATTGCCTTGTATGTATCAGTCTACATGATTTGGCAAGAGAGAAATCTTAGCAATTTTCAATAGAAAGCTTGGAGTCCTAATCTTCTATTTCGGTTAGTAAAAATCTATGTATACATGAAAATTTTGAATGAAAATATACCACAATACATAAAGAGTATATAGAGAATTTGTAATCTATGAAGACTGGATCTATGAAGACTGGGTTATATAACTAGTCTTTAGAGTCTATATCTTGATGTGCTCCAAAATTTTCCATATTTGGTTATGAAATAAAAATTTTCATTAACCCAAAAAAAAGATACTAATTGATTAGAGTAGAAAATCTGAAACTAAGCGATGTTAGACATGAGTCATATGACAAGCATTTCCGAAACCCTATTAGCAAAGGAAGTATGTTCACATTTGTTCACATTTGTTTTTAATGAAGCCAAGTAGCAAAGGAAGTCTATTAAGAACAATCCTTAGCCATAACAACTATGGAATATAAATCTACACCTTGTCATATCATAATTAAGTACTGGTGAAAGCATTCTTAATCAGAGGATTTAACCATCCCAAACAAATTTCTCAACTTTAGAATGTGTATCATGCATGCAACTGAGAGACTATTTCAGATACAATGTGAATAGATGTTATAATTAGATTATCTCAGTAACTTAAATAGAGACACAAAGCTAGTACGAGACAAGAGAAACGACGCCAAGACTTACATCGATTGTAGATGAGGAAGAATAAAAACAATTTAAATTAGCTACTCCCAATCTCAAAAGCTTAATTCCTCAAACTCCAAAACTTAAATTCCCAGCTCAGTCCAGTAACCTAAACACCGTAAATTGAATGCACATATCGGCCAATAACCCAAACACCCTAATTTCCAAAATAAACCCTAATTTCTAGCTAGATCTAGAGATACAACTAATTAGAGGGCAAATTAAGATAAATCTCATATTTAATAGCATCAAACCCAAATTCCTCAAAATGAAACAACTAATTGTGTGTGTGGGGGGGGGGGGAGAAAAAAAAATCATCTAAAATCGAGCAAAATGACAAAATAGATAGATCAAATGCTTTTGTCCACAGATCACAAACTCCAAATAATTAACATGCATCAAAATGTACAAGACGAAGAGATTTACTTAGACTAGGCTATCATCGGGTCAAGTACTCAAGATCATTAAAAAAGGAGAGGCAATGGTGTTGAGATGAAGGAGGCCGATCGAGCACACATACCTTAGGACAGAAAGAAGCGTGAGGATCAGCAACAGAAACAGCAGCTAAAGCAAGAGCCAGCAGCAGGTCGCCATGGATCTGATATACTTGACATTCCACTGAGATCACAGATGAGCATGCATCAGAGATACACAACGATGATGAGATCTCCTCGTTAGCGCCTGAGAAAGAGATCAATGCCACCGCCTCCTCCTTCGAAGCTCCACTCCTGTAAACGATGACAACAACAAGATCAAGATCGGATCTATAGAGAGAAACAGAGAAAGAAAGAAACCTAGAGAGAGAAAGAACAAGATCATGACCTGAGGCTGGAGGTTGAAGACGAGGAAGAAGAAGAGGGGAGAGAAACGTCCATCGCCTGTTGCTCAGTGATGAATCCTGCACTCGCCGGACCACCACTGCTTGTTGCAGGGATAGCAGGCACCATAAAGATTTGAGCTTTCTCTTGAAAGGATCTCTCTCTTCTTGCTCTCTACTCTTGATTTGGTTTTCTTCTTTTTCTTTTTTTCCTTTTTTCCCTTTTTAAAAAATTGGTGAGCGATGAGAAGGATATTGGTGGACGCAGGGCTTCGAGGGACTATGGAATGTGAGGGCGTGTTGGAAAATTGAAGACGTGAAGGTGTTTGCCAGAGTACCAATCTGGGCGTCCGAGCATGTAGGATGAGGCAAAAGGAGGACACTAGGGTTTTGAGGAGTATGGGATGGCGGGGTTGGTTTACAGTTGAGGGAGGGCTAGGGTTTTGAGATTTTTTCTATGGGCCCTACCTTCCTAGATAGAAATTTTCGTCTAGGATGCTTCCTAGATGGAAATTTCCGTTTAGGAAGAGGGGGACAACTTTTTTGATCTTTTTCCATCTAAATAATCAATCTAGATGAAAATTTTCGTCTAGGTTGATCCAAACTAGACGGACCAAACTAGGCGGAATATTTTTCATCTAGTTTGGACCAACTAAGACGAAAAATTAATCCATCTAGTTTGGCTCGTCTTGGTTGCCTCTTTTTCTACTAGTGCAAATCTTATCTTCTCCAAACGTACACAAGCCACCCCTCTCTCTCAAAACCCTAAAATTTTAGTTTTGTTTTTGGAGAAATTTCATGAAGCAAACTTCTTGAGGAGGAGTAAGGCTACGACTTTTGCGAAGGAGGATTGAGTTTCTCTCGCGTTTGAGAGATCAAAACCTCTTCTAAAGGTAAGTTCATCTTCTCCAAACCCATCCCCTTTTTCTTTGATTTTATTGGATTAAAATCTATTAGATGTATAGAGATTACTCTTTAAACTTTACGATTAAAACTGTAATTCCTTTCAATTGAGATAGTAAAGGTATGATCTTAGAAATTAAAAACCCTAATTGTTTGCTAAAGAACGAATTGATTAGGATTAGATCTCTAATTAATTAGATTAAATTTGATTAGTAATGGTTAGAGAAATTGGATCCCAAAGTCATGATTTGTATGGTGCATACTTGTTTGACCAAGCCCCACTTAAGTTAATGCAAGATTTAAAACATAATTCATACCCATGTTGATATTTTACAAGTTTTTGAGGAAACCAATTAACTTTAGAAAATTATCGATTTTTGTTTCAGCGTTCGGGTTAGTCGACTAACCCCATTGATTAGTCGACCGATCAGCTCTCAGGATTTTGTTTTGATCATCTTAGGTCAGTCGAGTGATAGATCATTAGTCAACTGATCAAGACTTATTAATTGTGTATGCTTGTTGTTCGGTCGACTGATG